CCTACTAGTTCAAACATTTATTATCTTAAATTGAAGCTATTAATGTGTTTTGTTTCACTGGATCGGGGCCCCCCAAACAATAAGTAATATTATTCATTACTCAACATCTTCAAGACTAAAAAAGGCTAACTAAAATACCTATAGAACAATTCCAAGCTTTATCACACAATATAGATCCTGCCTACTGTCCTTAAAATAACAATATTTCTAGCTCAGGTGATTTGTCCATTTCTAGTTTGACCAGCTGTGATTAAGGGGTAGAATCATACAAGCCCACAATCCCACAATCCCTTAAGTATACTTCCATATTCCAAAAATGTATTAAACTTAAAAGCTTTTTAATAACTCCTTTGGTAGCAAGCCTGACCACCTCACACCAGATCCAAAAATTAACTCAAAATAGATAAGAAACCTAAATGTAAACTAAAACTATAAGACTCCATGAAATAACATTTAACCCAGGGGTTTTCAAACTGGGGATCTTTTGCCCACCTGGAAATATTTGGCAATCTCTGGAGACATTTTTATTGTCGTGCCTTTGGGGAATTGCTACTGGCATCCAGTAAGTAGAGGTCGGGGATGCCGTGAAACATAGTCCAATGCCCAGGACAGATCAGCCTGAGCCCAGGAGGTTGAGGCTGCAGTGAGCCATGACTGTGCTACGGCACTCCAGCCTGAATGACAGAGTAAGACCCTGACTCAAAAAAATATATAAATATATCTGAATAGTATATGAATAGTCAATTATATTAAAATTAAAATATAGCTACCCACCTTTTGGTTCCCACATACTCTGTCATTGCTAATAGGATTTAAGGGCTGCATTTATCTGTCTCCCCACTCTGCCCAGGAAGCAATTTCCATGCTCTGTGTCTAACCAAGCAGGTTATAAGGGGTTTTTTAATGCCTAAAAATAACTGTTCTTTTTAATTTTTTAATTTTAAAATTTTGGCAAATGATATTCAACATGACAATCAGATAGATGTATACACGGTGTAATGATTACCACAATCAAACGAACTAATACATCTATCATACACCATGCTGTATATTGGATCCCCAGAACTTGTTCATCTTATAACGGTAAGTTTGTAATCTTTTCTTCATTTTTCCCACTGTCCAGACCCTGCTTCTGTGAGTTTGACTTTTTAAGAATCCACACATAGGCCGGGTGCGCTGGCTCCAGCCTGTAATCCCACCACTTTGGGAGGCTGAGGCAAGAGGATTGCCTGACCCCATGGGTTCAAGACCAGCCTGGGCAACATGGCAAGACCTCCTCATCTCTACAATAAATCAAAGTATTAGCCAGGCATGGTAGCGCACACCTGTAGTTCTGACTACTTGGAAGGGTGAGGCTGAAGGATTGCTGGAGCCCAGCAGGTCGACGCTGGGGTGGCCGTGAGTATGCCACTGCACTCCAGCCTGGGCAACAGAGCAAGACTCCAACTCAAAAAAAAAAAAAAAAAAAAAAAGATTCCACGCATAACTGAGGTCATACAGTATCTGTCTCCCTGTGTCTAACTTATTCCACTTAGCACAGACCTCCCAGTTCATCCATATTGTCACAAATGCAGGATTCTTTCTTTTTATGGTTGAATAATATCCCACTGTTTATATATCACAATTTATTTTTCCATTCAGTCATTGATGAACACAGGTTGTTTTGACATCTTGGCTAATGTAAATAATGCTGCAATGAATATAGGGTGCAAATATCTCTTGGGGATTTTAGTTTCTTTGGATATATACCCAGAAGTGGGAATCTTGGATCATATGGTAGTTCTATTTTTTAATTTTTTTTAGGAACTCAGCTGGAGATATTTTGGATTTCGAAAGTAGGACCATCCATCTTGCTGTCTCCCCCAATAGACCTAATACCAAATACGTCTGTTTTTTGGATTTTCTCCTATTAATTTGAATGAGATTAGACTCTTTCTTTACTTAAAAAATCCAAGGCTGGGCTCAGTGGCTCAGCCTGTAATCCCAGCACTTTGGGAGGATGAGGCAAGTGGATTGTCTGAGCCTGAGGGTTCAAGACCTGCCCGGGGAACTTGGTGAGACCTCATCTCTAAAAAAATAAATAAATTTTTTAAAAATTTGGGGCAATAGTGCTCGCCTGTAGTTCCAGCTACTTGGAAGGCTGAGGCAGAAGGATCGGCTGGGGTGGCTGTGAGTGTGCCACTGCACTCCAGGCCAGGTGACAGAGTGAGACTCCAACTCAAAAAAAAAAAATGAAAAAGAAAAATCCAGGCCAGGCGCAGTGGCTCATGCCTATAATCCTAGCACTTTGGGAGGCTGAGGTGAGAGGATTGGCTGAGCCCATGGGTTTGAGACCAGCCGGGGCAACTTGGCGAGACCTCATCTCTACAATAAATCAGAAACATTTGCCGGGCATGGTAGCGCTCGCCTGTAGTTCCAGCTACTTGGAAGGCTGAGGTGGAAGGATCGCCTGAGCCCAGCAGGTCGAGGCTGCCGTGCCTGTAAGCGTGCCACTGCCCTCTAGCCTGGGCGACAGAGTGAGACTCCGACTCAGAAATCCAATAATCATAGCCTTTATTTATGTTTTTAATCTCCACGAATGAAGGAGAAGAGGACAGTACCAACAATAATTTTCTGAGTTCACCTAAATAACAAAACAACAACAACCCTAAATGTGTATGCTGGCTTCCTAGGATGGCTATAACACATTACCACTGGGTGGCTTAAAGTAACAAAAATGTATTCTCTCACAGTTGTGGAGGCCAAAAGTCTGAAATCAAGGCATCAGCAGGGTTGCTTTGGAGTTTCTGAGGGAATCCATTTCATGCCTCTCTCCTAGCTTCTGATCGCTGCAGGCAATCCTTGGCATTCCTTGGTTTGTGGACACACCACTCCAATTTCTGCCTCCATTTTTTTTTTTTTTTTTTGAGTTGGAGTCTCACTCTGTCGTCCAGGCTAGTGCAGTGGCACACTCGTGGCCACTCCTGCGTCAACCTGCTGGGCTCCAGCGATCTTTCCACCTCAGCCTTCCAAGTAGCCGGAACTACAGGCTCCCTCTACCACGCCGGGCTAATTTTTGATTTATTGTAGAGATGAGGTCTCGCCCAAGTTGCCTGGGCTGGTCTCAAACCTGCGGGCTCAGGCAATCCACTCGCCTCAGCCTCTCCAAGTGCTGGGATTACAGGCTGAGCCACCTAGCCTGTTCATCCTGTGTGGTTCAGCTATAGCGATGGGCAGGGTACTGGAAGAGGCGTTTGCAGTAAAATGCCCAAACCTCTCCTTCACAAGAGCTTCCGGACGTGAGGCAGGAACACTGCCTTGAGGGTTAGACTTGGCATTTAGATCCTCGGAGGATCACTGGGATCCTATAGGCCCACAGAGGCCGATGTGGAATTGCTCATAGAGCAGTGTGAGAGCTGAGAATAAAGGTAGGGAGACCCAAAATTGCTTCCGGGCCCAAAAAGCAAGCGTGAAAAAATAAGGAGGAAGTGGAGCCAAGAAACAGAAGCCCGGTGGAAATTAGACCAGAATGGAAATAAGTCAGAACAGGCAAAAGAGGTCTTGGGTAATTTGTGTAATATCCACAAAACGACGTTAAAGACGCCTGAGCTTATCTTACTGGTTTATTGACGGCAGGGGTGGAAGTGTCGGGATGGCTTGAAGTTTAGAACTCCTTTGAACTTCATGCAACCCCAAGTTACCTTCTGTGCGTATGCCCAGAAGAACTGAAAGCAGGATCTTGAAGAGATACTTATACACTCATGTCCATATCGGCATTAAATTTTTTTTTTTTTTTTTGAGTGGGAGTCTCACTCTGTCGCCCGGACTGGAGGGCAGGGGCCGCTCCCGCCCACCGCAGCCCCGACCCGCGGGGCTCCGGCCATCCTTCGCCTCAGCCTTCCGAGCAGCCGCAATTACAGGCACGCGCTACCACGCCCGGCTGATTGTTTGATTTATTGTAGAGAGGAGGTCTCGCCAAATTCCCCAGGCGGCGTCTCGAACCCGCGGGCTCAGACGATCCACTCACTTCGGCCTCCCAAGGCGCGGGATGACAGGCTGAGCCACCGAGCCCGGCTTCCGTACCAGCATTACTTACCGTGGCCAGAAGGCGGAAGCAACCCGAGTCCATCCAAGAATCAATGGACAAACAAAACGTGGTGTGTACGGTGCAATGGACTATTATTCAGCCTTAAAAAACAAGCCACTGTATGGGTGAAACTCTAGGACATGATGCTAAGTGAAGTAAGCCAGTCACCTAAATACAAATACTGTATGATTGCACTCGTGTGAGGTACCTGGCATAAATTCACAGAGACGGGAAGTAGAATCGCGAGTTATCGCTTAATGGGTACAGAGTTTCAGATTTGCAAGATGCAGAGTTCGGAAGATGGGTGCTATGATGGTTGTGATAATAGTATGGATGTGTTTAATACTACTGAGCCGCACACTAAAAATGGTTGAGATGTTACATTTTGTGTGTGTGTGTTTTTTGTTTTGTTTTGTTTTGAGTTGGAGTCTCAATTTTTGATTTACTGTAGAGACGGGGTCTCGCCACGTTGCCCGGGTGGGTCTTGAACCCACGGGCTCAGGCAATCCCCTCGCCTCGGCCCCCCCAAGTGCTGGGATTACAGGCTTGAGCCACCGCGCCCAACCTGACGTCAGTTTTTAAAGAATGAACTGAAAATAAAAAGAAAAGGACTATGAATAACAATCCGCATCAATCAAACGCAGCAGGGAGACGAGCACCTCCGAGCCGCCCGGCCCCCCCGCGGCCCAGCCAGCAGGCAGCGGGCAGCGGGCAGCGCAGCCGAGGGCGTGGCAAGGGCGGGCCTCCGCGCCGCAGGGCGGGGCTGCAGGGAAGCCGCGGGTGACGGCGGGTCAGCCCGCGGCCTGGGCTGCCACTGCGCAGGCGCACACCGCGGCCGCCCCGGCGCCTTCGAAGCGTGCCCGGAAGTGACGCCCTAGCGCCGCGCCCGTGCGGGAAGACGCGAGTTGGTGGAGCCGGCGAGCCGGGCGGGGCGGGTGGCGCCGCCGCTATGAGCTGCACCATCGAGAAGATCCTGACCGACGCCAAGACGCTGCTGGAGCGGCTGCGGGAGCACGATGCGGCCGCCGAGTCGCTGGTGGATCAGTCGGCGGCGCTGCACCGGCGGGTGGCCGCCATGCGGGAGGCGGGGACGGCGCTTCCGGACCAGGTCAGGCGGAGGGCGGGGGTCCGGCGCTCCCGGTTTCTGGGCCCTGGAAGGGTGGCGACCGAGTGAAGTGGGCTCTCAGCCTGGAATGCATCCCCGACCTCGGGGGCGGCGGCGAGACCTTCCTGCCGGGTCCGGGCTGAGACTCCTGCCCTTCAGTCGCATCTGCCGCTGTTCTGTTGACGGCGTCTGAGTCTGTCTCTGTTTGTCCAGTATCAAGAGGATGCCTCCGATATGAAGGACATGTCCAAATACAAACCTCACATTCTGCTGTCCCAAGAGAACACACAGATTAGAGACCTGCAGCAGGAAAACAGAGGTTAGTCCGGCCTTTTTTGTGCAGTTGTTACGATTTTTTTCATATCCGGTGAGTTTGAAAGTTCTTGCAAAATTGCTTTAACAGTTCGCATAGTTGCGCATCCTATATATATTTCCAGACCAGTATTTTAATAGGAAGGTTATCCTGTGCTGGCACAGTAACAATGCAGTTTGTTAGACTACCCTTTTCAAGGTCATTGGACTGATTTTTGTATTTATAAGCAGCTTATCAAAGAGGTACTTGGTAGAGTTGATTATTGCATGCTTTTTTTTTTTTTTTAAAGAATTCCTAGATGTGTAACGAAAGAGTTCATCTCCTTAAGGCTTAAAATTTAATACTTAAACATCAATTAAAAATAAACTATGAAGGTAAAATAGAAGGTTTTGATTATGTTCTTGTGCAAGGTGGAAGAGCAGAATTTTATCCTCGGGTATATATTCTTAGGCTTGATGATTACATTATTGATAGTAGTATTACTAGTTGTATACCAGTTTACAGAGGGGTTTCACGAGTGTCGCTCCACTGTATCTCATGCCTTTATTTTAGGTAGACAAGCCAGTGTTTATCACAATGCAATTAAGAAATAGTCTCAGAGAGGCAAAATGATTTACTTATGAGTGTTAACCAAGTAAGTTACAGAACTGAACTCAAACCCTTGTCTTCTGATGACACATCCCATGTTTCTGCCAGATTATGCTTCTCTGCCTAGAAAGTTTTCTTTCACTTAGACTTGAACAGTTCAGTTTTGTGGACTTAAACACTGATTTACAACTTTGGGTGCATAATATCTCATGCCGTGTCATAAAATTCCAGCTGTTAAGACTTTGGATTTGGGAACTATCTCTCAGACATGACTGCCAAGTTATTTTATTTTTTGATAGAGCTGTGGGTTTCCTTGGAGGAACACCAGGATGCTTTGGAACTCATCATGAGCAAGTATCGGAAACAGATGTTACAGTTCATGGTTGCTAAAAAAGCAGTGGATACTGAACCAGTCCTGAAAGCTCACCAGTCTCACTCTGCAGTAAGAGACTTAGATGAATAAATTCTAAACGAACTGAATTGAAATTGTTTTAGATTATCTGCTTGTTTTTCAAGAAAAGTAAGCTTGTAAATAGAAGGAGGCTAGGGGGTACTTAGCTCCTTTTATTTGAGTGGGACTGAGTTTCCTCCTTCCCTTGCCAAGATCTTTTTACAAGATTTTAATGAATACTTAGCTCTTCCACAAAGCATAATCCCAGTTAGTGTTGAAGGTGCTCAATGAACACTTGGTTGGTGCTCAATGAACACTTGGTTGATTATTACTTATCCATTTCACTGAACTGTAAACTCCTTGGTTGTAAGGAACTTAAACTCATGTTTTATTCCTAACATAGCACATGGCAGGCAGGCAGTACTGTGTTGTTAGTGAAGAGAAGTAGCTCGGCACGGTGGCTCACACCTGTAATCCAGCACTTTGGGAGGCCGAGGCAGGAAGATTGCTTGAACCCAAGTTTGAGACCAGCCTGAGCAATGTAGCAAGACCTCAACTCTACAAAAAAAAAATTACCCAGGCATGGTGGTGCATGCCTAGTCCAGCTACTCAAAAGACTGAGGTGAAAGGATCATCTGAGCCTAGGAGTTTGAGGTTGTGGTGAGCCATGATCGTGCCACTGCACTCTAGCCTGGATGACAGAGTGAGATTCCTACATACATACATACATACATAAATGTAAATAGTAAATCGTAAGTAAATAATAAGTAACATTTTCAACTTTGGTTGCTTATGATTTAATTTGAGAGACTCAGTAATTGTTCTTATGTTTGTAAAGTGCTTCATAGTTGTCATTGTTCATTCATGGATACTGTATCATTTCATCCTGGCTTTATAGATAGGAGCCTCAATACTTGCTGCTGTGTTATGTAGTGAAAGATAAGTTTCATCTTAGATACCACTGAATTAATAACTGACTTAACAAGCTTTAGGGAACAAGGATATTTTAAATATTTGAATAGCTTTCATCTGGAAGAGAAAGATAAATTTAATTTTCTCTAGTCTGGAGAGAAAACTTGAACCTTGAAGAAGACAAGAGTATAACTCAGAAATACCTTCTAAGAGGTGTGTTCAAAGTTGGAATAAGATTGGAATGTGGTGCGCTTACTGCCAATAAAAGTTTTCAAATTTAAATTAAACAGCCACTTGGAGATCTTGTCCAACATCCAATGGGTAGTTAAATTGCATTAATCTTTTGAAAGCAAAACTTATTTGTGAATATCATAAGGTCACTTTATTATAGCTTTACCTCTGAGGACTCAAATTATAATGAAACTTCAGTGTAACTCCTATAGCATAGATTAAATGAACTTTTAAAAATAATAATGTATATATTCTCATGTTCTTTCTATCTGTAGAAAAGGTGGCTTTTTCACCTTTGTTTCCTTAATATTGTCACAGGAAATCGAGAGTCAGATTGACAGAATCTGTGAAATGGGAGAAGTAATGAGGAAAGCAGTACAGATGGATGATGACCAATTTTGTAAGATTCAGGAAAAATTAGCCCAATTAGAGGTAAGATTATTGCTATTTTATGTTTAAAGTATTTCACAGATTTTTCAGAGCCTGGAAGATATTTCATCACCATCCTATCACCACTGTGTATTGATGCTTTCTATGTGTTCGTGATTTAAAATTAAAACTCCTCCTTCATATGGTTTTCAAGAAAGGAAATGTAAGCTGGGCTCGGTAGCTCAGCCTGTAATCCCGCGCCTTTGGGAGGCTGAGGTGAGT